ACTACATTACTTTGTTTAGAAGTTTACACTGCAAACGAATCAATGAAAGTCAGATAGAGGTACTCTATGCATTTTTTGACAATTACAGGACAATTTGCATTTAATATGGTATTTTTTTAGGCAGTCTGATAATTCGGATGACATCTATTATGCCTCTAACAATTATATTTTCTTTTCTATGTAATATACAATATAATATACAAAATCAAAAAAGATACTACTGTCTTTTGGTTCCAATTACCTTAGCACTGATAGTGTAGTAATATGAAATAAACAGAACTGTATCATTAACCACTTTAATTAAACGATTTATAATTTCTATTAAATTAATAAGCTTATTTAACCTAACCGTAAAGCACAAATCTTTGGTGAAAGATACGGTTGTTACGAATTATTGTGCTTTCTTTGTTGTTAAAATTTATTTCAATATTTTGGTGTTTTCTAATGTCGGTTCTAAAAAGGCGTGTACTCAACTTTTCGTTCATTATTAATAAACTAAGACTTCCACTTCTAATGTTAAACCAATTTTAAGTTTTCTAAGCTAACCTGACTGTAAGCAGTATTTGCGGCATCATAGAACTCCTCAAGTGTCTTGTATTCTTCTTCCAAGGGCAAATCCTCAATTAGTGCAACACTGTGTATGTAGAAGAATAAACCCATAAGCACCTATATAAGCACAATTTAAAATAAAGAAAAAATTTTAAATATTTATTATTTATATGTTTTTCTGTTATACATACCAATTGTATGATTCCCCATACAGAAATGATTAAGCCACAGAGTGACAACTTTGGACCACAGATTTTCATTTTTTTATTATTTTAAGCGCAGATTATACCAAAACACGAAGTAATTTGTTTAACTAACAATTTACTTATTATATTTCACTTGTTAAATTTGGAAAAAATTAATTTTACAAAATTCTACTAGTGAAAATTTTCGCGACAAAAAATTTTAGTCAGGTGAAAATCATGTGACAGTTGTTGTACTCACTCGTTCGAAAAGTAGTGAAGTTAGTTGCGTTTCAAAAAATATTTGTGGAACCAAATATGAAAAGTAGCTTTAGATATGTTTATGTTGTCATGAAGGGAAAAAGTTTATTTTAATACATATAAATTTATAATAAAATAAGTATATAAATTATAAATAATAAATTTAAAATTATATATATGCAAATAAAATTGTGTATATTCAGAATTTTAATAACGAAATATTGGAATACACATTGGAAATAAAATTCTTTTTTGCTTGTCAGTCCTATTTGTGTAGCATATGTTCAATAAACAAGTTCCACAAATATAAAAACAAAACAAAGCATTTAAATCATTGTTGTAATATTTTGTATTTGGCAAATATTTTAGTTGCTTAAAATTAATTGTTGAATAATAAATATATATAAATTTTGTGTGATGACGGAACAAAATATATATCATGAACGTCAATCACGCCAACTATGCTGTTTGCATGCACTAAACAATTTGTTCCAAGGTAATCAAATTATTAATAATATTAATTAAAATCCATTGCTTGTAAACTGTAAATGAAAATCTATAGCCAAACAAACCTATACCAAAGAAGAATTAGATGATATATGCACAGATCTAAGTCCAGAATCTTGGCTTAATCCGCATCGCTCCTGGATTGGTTGGGGTAATTATGATGTCAACGTACTTATGAGAGCACTTAGCAAAAGAAACTGTGAAGCAGCTTGGTTCGATAAAAGAAAGTATGTTACTATATTAATAATAGTTTGTTTTTAGAAAATTCTTTAATAAATTATTGATTTTTCTTTGCATAATAGAGATCCTGCATGCATAAATCTTGACGTAGTTTTTGGTTTTATATTAAATGTGCCTTCTGATTACAAAATTGGTTTTGTAACCCTGCCACTACACAGAAGACATTGGATAGCAGTTAGAAAAATTAATGATAACTACTATAATTTAGACTCAAAATTATCACGGCCAGAATGTATAGGTAATGAAGTAGAACTATTACGATTCTTACGCTCTCAATTAAATACAAATGAACGAGAAGTGTTCGTCATATTAACAAATGAAAACGTTAAAGAAAATTGGTTAAGAGATGAAGAGGTCGCTGAGAGTTAATCAATAAATCTATTTAAAAAAAGCAATATTCGTTATAAAAGATCTGGTATTCAATACCCGATTTTATAATCAACTATTTGGTTTGTGAAATTGCCATTAATAAATTTTTCGTACAAATATTTTGTATATGTTAATTTTTTTTAAAAAGCACCTGTTCTTATTTATTTGTTATTTATATATATTGACACTGAAACAATAAGACATTCATAAAGATTTAATAAATAAAATCATGAATAAAAATTATATATGAAATACAATTTATTTGTTGTAATATAAAAATAAAGTTTATATAAAAGCTATGATGTAGCGAAGAGATATAAGGGATCTATATTAAACCTTTCTTTAGCACCAAATAGTTTTCAATGCAAATAAATTTACTGCAAAAACTGTTAACCTTTTCTGTGCAGTCGTATAAAATACCGCAATAATGAGCTAAGGCTCTTCTTTGGGTAATGATAGAGGAACCTGTTATACACATACAAAGCAATAGGACGTAGTATTATTGTTGTTGTTGTGGTAGCCTGTAGGGAACAGCTTGCGTGATCTCTTTCGGAGGTGCTGAACGGCACTTGGTTAATGAGATTGACGAGTGGCTCCGGGCTGTTCTTGAAACCACATCGTATTGTGATTTGTTTCAGTATAAGCACCCCTTTTTTGCGGGCGCTAAAAACAACATCCAATCATGCTAAAATGCAGCTCCGCAGGTTTCAGCCATCCATTTAGCCATAAGCTACATAGCTACTCGTCACAGATAAATATATTAATACCCAATGTGTGCCCCAAATAAACTCTTCATGATGTCGCCTCGATTCAGGCTAGTTTCAACTAAATTTCGTCCAGCCGTCATTCAATCCATATCCTAAACAAACGCTCTTTTCTCACTTATCTACTTATTTATATTTTGTATTTAAATTTTAATGATTCTAAATAAAACGTTAAAAGAAACTAATCAAAACTCAAAAATTGGTCAAAAATAAAGATACTCATGAAGACCCATAGATCGGCACGGTATAAAAATACATCAATTCTACCAGGCTTTCAATATTAAAAAATCTGGGAAATCCTACAAACGGAGCAATTATTCCAGCTTTGGGAAATATAATATCAAACTTATACATCTAAAGTGAAAAAGAATTATAAAAGGGTGAAGGTTCTGAAATCAAAATAAAACCATTTAACATACTAATAATAACTACTAACTGACTATTAATAATAAATACTAGTAATCAACTAAGTTTCAAAGCACTGAACGCGGTATCGTAAGTATTAAAGTAAATCATTTCTCAAGTCATAAGAAAAAATAAAAGTATCGAAGTATACCAACTATTAAAAACCACTCAATATACTATATCAATATTATACAAGGTTTCACAATTTATACCAAAACCAAATTACACAAACAAAGCAATATGATAGAGCATAAACAATACATTGTAGTAGATAAAAAAATAATAATGTTATATAAATTTTTATAATATAATTATAATAATATAGTTATAAAATTATATATCATAGCATCGCCTTTAAGTTATTTGATTTCTTTCATGAAATAAATCAAAGTAAAAAAATTTTGAATATAAAAAATTGCGAAGTATACGATTTCCCAACACCTGGTATATTCTCAAGATCTAAACTAGATCTTAAAATAATGCGAAAAATTTAGAATATAAATTACTTTTTGAAGCATTGTTATAATTCTGTAATTTTATAATTTTATAAAACAGTCATACTAAGTAATTTTCATTTAAATATATATCTTGAACTTAAGCAGATCTGATTAAAAAATTGAATGTTCAGATGTTTTTAATAATATTGCAAATATGTCATCCTAAAATAAGTATATTTCCAAATCTAAAAAATCATTTTTGTTTTTAAATATACATATTTTTAACAATCATCATACTTTAGTATAAAAAGTGAAAGTAATAGTTTGAAAATGAATAATGATTTCAAATGGCAATGTTTAAGTAGTTCTCTATAATTAACCCTTTTTTAATGATATTACAGCCCACAAACAGTAATTTATCATATTATTATTTATTGACCATTGACTTTTGAAATAGTGTGATAATATCTCTAGCTCCTTTGCATTGCATGTATAGGATTATGATAACAGATGTCACTTAACTACAAAAAATATTGAAGCTATTGTTGTGTGTTTATTTTTGTATTAACAATAATGGTCTTTCCGTACAATCATAGGTAATATTTAATAATAAAATAATTAGTTAGATTTCTATTTAATGCCTATGACCTCGACTAAAAAGGTTCCAAGAATAGCAGATGTGAATAAATTATTATGAAACGAACATGTCTACCTGTTGAAAATATTAAATTTAATATACCTAATTCTATATATTCAAACAAATAGGTCTTTAAGTTAACAAATTCATATTACTTCATTTTAATCTTAAGTGATTTATTTAAATTCTGCAAATTATGTTGTCATAAACCGTTCGACACTATGTTGTGATACCGTTCTACACTCCTAATACAGTATGACCATTCATTTTACTAAGAATTACATATGTATTTATGAATATATAGTATTACGAATATACAATTTATGAGCAACCGATCAAAACTGATGAATTAGAAAAATTACAAGGTTACTAGGTAATTAATAGATTTATAGTTGTGACTTAGGTTAACTAAGATACAAACAATAGACTTTTATTGTCAAATTAAATACACTAATAAGTATATCCGTATATCATATATCTATAATATATCAATACGGTATTCCAAAACAGTTATAAATCTGAGGGAAACAGTAATGGTACTTTTTTTAATAATGCATAATTCTTCATATATATTATATTATTATCTACAAAAACTGTTTACATTTGTAGATATTAAGTTTGGGTATTAAAAATTATTCAGATTATTACACACATATTACCTAGGTTTCAAAAAATTACAGAGATGAATATAAATTTAATTTTAATGTCCGTTTTGACAAAAGAAACTATATTCTTAATATAATCTATTAATTTCAATAGAGAGGTATTTCGAATAGTATTAAATTACAACAAAAAAATGTTATAGATGAATTTAAAAAATTATGTTACTGTTCTTCTACGTAAATTTTACAATAGTTCTTCATTAAAAAATTAAATTCCTCTCTAAAAGTCCATATATGACAACAAATTCAAAAATGATATTTCACAATTATATATTTTGCAAGAACCACTTCTTTCTCCTACTGCTGCTGCCTCCACATAATCTGTACTTTCTGGGGTTTCCAAATCCAATGAACTTTTTGGACTAAAAAAAAAAATTTATTTAATACAACTACTTATACAGATGATAACTCCCAGATTTTTGTCTCACCTCAAAAATATATGCACTAATTCAGCATAAAGTTCATACTTAGAAAACTTTACCGAATTTCCTTCACAAATAATACGAAGTAAACATTCTTTTCCATTGAAACCATAACTATATCTTATTGTATAAATAAAATATTTAAGATATTAACAATATCATCTCACCTATCTATTTTTTTTTCTATATAATTATATGCAGTCCAACGCAAAGAGGATCGTTTTAAGGAGTTTTGTCGTGCATTTATTAGATCTGGTGTATACTCTGGCCAAAAGGGGTTTTCACGAAATACCGTAGCATTATAGGGTAACCAAAACTCAGCTTTAATGAGATAGCCTGAAGTTAGTGACTCATATGTTAGGTCAGTTGGAATACCGAGACCAATAATAAACTGTAATTTAAAATTGAAGCTTTATATTTTGTTAATTTTTCGGACATCGATCCAATATATAAATACCATATATAAATTACATTGATGTTAGCTATACGCCAACTTACAATATTATTAAGTATATTATTTTTAACGGATTTATTTTAACTTCTTTTTTTCTTTAATTTAATTTTTATTTGAACAAATTTTTTGTTATGTTTTATAAATTTATTAAATATTCATTTATAAGTCTTATGGCCGATTTATGATACAGTAGAATATATTAAGTGCGTCACTATGTATAGTTCTACATTTTTATCAAAGATCAAGAGGTAGCATTCTGGTATCAAGCATTTTTTCTTGCTAATAGTGTACTTGGTTGCTTAAATTAAATAAAATTATAATCATTTTTTAAACTTAATCATAGTTTTTTTATGCACAGAATATGATTTGAAAGACATTGGCGTTCAGTAACGATGTTATATCATATAAAATGTTATAAATATAAAAAAACTAATATCAGTTAAAATAACCGAAATCGAACCTATATACACCATTGTGCCTTTCTCTATTGTTAAAATTGAGACTACTAATTCCAGCTTTTTAATTATTAATAAATTTATAGTGTAATATCATTTTCTCAAATCCAAAAGTTAAGTAAATCTTGATAAAATTCGACAGATGTTTATTCAACGAAATAGTTCATTAGAAATTTGTATTACAATATCTGATGACTTAATTCACTCTACTTCCAAAGTACCTGATGCCTTGTAGGTGCTTGTCTCGGAAATATTAAAAACCGTTTGCGTCTTGATTCATAATCACTGGAAGCCAATGCAATATATAAACTTAGAAGTCCGTAAACGTATAAGAATAATTTTAAACTAAACATTTTCTCGTTTGAGTTACAACTAATTTCAACCATCAATCTAAACTTCAGAAATGGTAAAAATATTGCTTCCTTCTTTCAAGAATTTCAATTAGTGGCAATTATATGAAATGGATAACTGCGAAAATTCTGGTAACAATTACGATATGAAAGTTAAGTTTATGTTGAACTCATTTAACTCTTCATTTAAATAAATATTTTAGGTTCAGATGCATGTAGGTTGTCCAATTAACATCCTTCTTACTGTAAATTAAAAGAATATGTTATATCTGCTATATCTTGCCATTACATGTGATTAACGTAACGATATTGATATTGAAAATATAAGGTACTAAATATAACAATACATTACCAAAAGTTTTAGTAATGTATTACCATTATTTAATAAAAAAAATTTAAAAATCTGTAAATTAATAATGGCAATGATTACACATAATTAAAAGAACTTGAAGTCATTTAATCTTTAGTGTATATCATTATATCTAACTAATCTTCTTGAAATTACAATTTCTTAAAAAATTTAGGATATATCTGCTATATATATATATATATACAGTCAAACTTCCATAACTTGAAATCCAATTTTGCAAAAAAAAAAGTTTGACTTATGGAGACTTCGAGTATTTTTTTTTTATTTTTGAAAGAAACTAGAATTACATTTTATTTGCAATCAAATAAAGTACAAAAGTTATAATAAAGTAAAATCTTTTGAAATTAGGGTTTGGGACTTTAATTTTTTTCTTATTTTCAGTGAAGAGATATTTTACTTTATTCATACTCTAATAGTGATCATCAGTTGTAGTATCATTCGTTCGCAAATATAAATTCAGAATTTTGAATGAGTCTTCTACTTCATTCTTAGAAGGCTGATGAACAATTACATCCACCGAACCCTCATCATCACTTTCCGATGTGCTTAGAATTGGATCCAGTAATTTGGAGTTATAGTGCTCCATTTTTATAACATGCTTAGTTTAATGTAACGTAATAACCGCTGTGACTAAGTAACCATAAATCACTTTGTTTTCTTTGTCACAGTAATAGAAATTCCGATCTATATCTTTCTTTAACATTTAAAAACTTTCGATGCATTTTTTTTTCATAGACTTTAAGACCATGTTTATTTGCCTTGGTTAGATCCCACGTTCCAACGCCATATGTGGCTGTTGATTAAACAGTATTGTAATGACAAGAGTTGTTACATAGGTACTTATATCTAACTGATTTTATTCCTCGAATATCGAAACTAAAATTTCGATTTCGATGATGAAAATTGTAAATTAGGTACTTATTCCCCTTCAATCTTATTGCTCTTTGTTTTCTCAAGAAAGTATTTTTAATAAATAATTTTAACTGCATAATTTTAATTATATTTAATAACTTTTTGATTTTGGATACTATTACTATTCGTACACATATTCATTTTGAAGGATGGTGTTAAAATCTGTCATCGATTTATATATCATCACTTATAAAAGTAAGTGCCTTTAGCAGTAAGATTTTACCCAGTAACATCAGTCTTGTGAGAGTCAAGCGACATATGGTTACTTAAATTATTAGTTTTATGCATAAATTATTCTTAATTGGTAAGTAAATCTGTCAGAATACATAAGGAACTGAGAAACCCATTAGGACTGAAAAATTAGTATATATCACATGTGTGTAATCAAGGCTTTTTATATGTAAAGAAAGTCTTCGTCTTTTACGGAAACAATATTTGCAATTAATTCCTCGGTATTATCAGTATATATGATCTTTAAGTATTATTTATGGTTTATGTTTCATCAAGTTGGATATATTAGGCGTTCAGCAATTACAATGGATATTATCTATCGGCTTTCTAACAGCAATTTAATCACTTTTACCGACATTTTTTCAAAATCTGGCAACTTGAATTACTAATTTCATTTTTAATTAGCTTACATGAAATATTCTTGATATGTAAATCAATTGGACAATATATGGTATATCAATGAAGTACAGAATTTAATTATTAATAGGACTTTCAAATAAATGTGATTTGCTTTATTTGTTGTAGATACAAGGAAAATTTGGAGCCCTTCGTTTCATTTTAACTTATTTAGCAAAATGCAAAGATCAATCAGACACCAATTAAGATAAATTATATCTTAGGACTACAATCCCTAATAGTATATATTTTTTTTCTATCGCTCTATGCTTCAATTAGAGCGATAGTTAAAGATACATTTGTGTATTTGTTATTGTCAAGGAATTAAAAATACATAACAAAAATTGTGAGGGATTTTTCCAGCCGATTAATAAACTACTATTATAACCATAATATCAAGAATTTAATAATTGCAACTTTTCAGCTTTCATAGTAAATACTATTGTATTATTGAAAAATTATATACAGACCATTTATTATTTTTACTAATCTCTAATAATCTATAATCTATAATTTACTAATATCTCTAATAATCTATATAAAATTCATGCAAAAATAATATCCTTAAGTAATAAAACGTATTTTCACCGATATTATGTCTAAGGGAATAATAGAATTAAAAATCATTTAGGTAGGATATGGGATTTTTACCTATTTATTTCTCTAGTCACTAAATACTATCTCAATTAAACAAAATTCTACTTGCATAGAGTAGGTATAAAAGTTCGTTATTAAAAAACGAAACGGGTACCTAAGTCATAAATGTATATTTAAAAAAACATGTTTCAATGCTCGAAACTTAAATAGAAAATCTATGTATTTTTAATATATTCTTATCAACCGTTTTAAGAACCTGAATTATAGTGAATTTTATAAAAGGTCATTTAAGTATTCACGAATGAAGGCTCCTACCTGAAAAATGGAGTGAATAAATTTAAAACAAACTCTTAAGATCACTACTAAATTCATACTTATAAAAAGAGTAAACTGAAATTATATCCATCATTCGTTATCTCAATTTTATTGTGTAACATACCATTTAAGGTTACAATAATATCAGAAATTTACTTTGACTATAATGGAGTTAGAACAAGAATACAACTTGTTATGTGAAATTTCAACTGGAAGATCGCAAAAGCACATGAGAGAAAAAAGTCCAACAGTTGAAATTAATTATGAAAAAGTTCAACCAGTTATCAAACCAAAAGTTAGAGTAGCACATAAGCCGAAATATATAATACCAGACACCATTGCAGAAACCAGATGCCAGACGCAATCGATTGATACTAAGAACGAAGTTTTTATAAAAAACATGGATAAAACAGTCACAGATCAAATAAAACGAAATACTCCACCGAATGTTAACGATGAAAAGCCATCAAGTTCAGAAGGTTATGGTAAACGAAAAAGGGATAATCGAAGTGCAAGTCCGGATCCCCATAAACAATCAATAGCTTCCGAAGATAATAAGGAAAATGTGTACAAAAAAGCCAAACTACAAAGAGATTCTGTTAAATACAAAATATGTTCAAATTTCAAAAATATGGCTACTGCTCAGAAATCCAGGAAACCTTTAGAAGCTTTGACAGTAACAATGAATCCAAGAATAATGGCAATTTTAAATGCATCCATTGGAAGATCAAAATCAAAAGTGAAAATACGACCTTATAGTAATTACTCAAACAATGATAAATCTTAAATTACATTTAAAATTAATATTTATTATTTATATATTTTATTAAAAAAAATTAGAAAAAAAAATAAAATCTATAAATAAAATTAATTTTTTAAGCGTTTTTTTACCGAGTTTTAAAGTTTTATGATGATATTCTATGATATCATTCTTCTGTTAAAGTAACTCAACTGAACCCATTTTTTCCACCCACTTTACGTAAAAGTCATAAGTAAAGTGGGTGGAAAAGTCAACAATACATATATTATATAACATATGTATTGTTGTCCTGAATATTATTGCAGGAATGAGAACTTAAGATAAAGATCCATTTATCATTTAATTGACTACATCTGAATATACTCTAAATTGGAGAAGAAGATTTGGCTGATAAAGTTATTATACTCTCCAATGATATATATTTTTTAACAAAATCTCGACTTTAAAAACAAACACAATTTTGACAAAACTAAATAATAAAGAATATCTGGAAATTATCGATTATCTTAACTCCCGAAGAGACAAGAAAGCAAGACCTAAAGGCTATTTAGTATGATGAAAACTTGATATCACGTTATTAATTACACATGGTTTGTCGCAGTTCTGCTCTGAAATCAGATATGTACTTATTGCTCTATAAAATAAAATATTTTGGATAAAGCGCAAGATTTGGCAAAACTCTTGAGTTCAATAAATATATTCTTTCTTATATTTTCTTATATTTTTCTTATATTTCTTATATTTATTGAACTCAAGAGTTTTGCCAAATCTTGCGCTTTATCCAAAATATTTTATTTTATAGAGCAATAAGTACATATCTGATTTCAGAGCAGAACTGCGACAAACCATGTGTAATTAATAACGTGATATCAAGTTTTCATCATACCTTTAGGATCTGAATGATGTAGATGATATCGTGCTAGCGTTTTAAATTCAAATTTAGCATATGAAGTCAAAACTAAATCAGTTACAATTAGATTCTATTAATACCAGATAAAAATTAACATAAATAATACTTAGTCGTAACTTTATTCTTTTTTTCTATCACAGATCTTAAAAATTCATTAAGCTTGTGTAGTAACTAACCTTTTAACTAGATTGCGCTAAGGAAAGACATAACTAACCAGATACAAAAATAACGACCCGCATTACCTGATAAGTTCTAAATGCAAATAAATTAGTACAGCCACCAGCTTTGGATTTTTACTAGATTCGTCTTTGCTATATTATGGCTTAGCAATATAGATTGTCAGAACAGAAACAAAACTTAAATAAAAGTTTTTTTGTTGATAGTTGTTTGAGAAATACTTAGAAAATATGGGCTAAGACTGATGTTAAGACTGACATGAACCCCTAAGATACTTAACTGTATATAACCGCAAAAACACGATTCGAAACAAAGCAGCCAAAGACAACTAACAAAAATAACTAGAAAAGTAATGTAAAAGCCTTAAAGTTATAGTAGTACTGAGATATAATAGCGTATGCAGTTCAATCTAATATGGGATTTGTTCACACAAATAGTTGTTATTTAAATTTTGTAGGGCTCTGTAGTATATTTTCTGTACGTATATATCTGAAGTTTTCCTGTTATATATTGCATGATCCGTGGTTTTAAAACCAAGATTTTCATGACTGAAAAGATCTTCTTGAGGGACTGTATTAAATAGTTATGACTATAAATTAATATACTTCGCTCGCCAAACCCCGTTATATTCATACGTACTCTTTCATATTCAACAATATGTATTAATATATTTATGTACAAAATTATAGAACTCTGCCAACCCTCGCTCGCCAAACCCCGTTATATTCATACGTACTCTTTCATATTCAACAATATGTATTTACTTTTAACATTCCCTAGAAGAGACTTCAAATTTCATTCTAGTTTTGAAGTATTTAAAAAAATTTGATGTCTCTTCTGGAGAATTTTAAGAGCACGTACATATTGTTTACTATGTAAGAGTTTGTACCATATATATATATATAAAGTTTGTCCTTCTTCATGCAATCCCAACCTTAAACATAGGCATTTAATGTTATTCTTTTGAAACAAATTACATTGTATTTTACCATTTTGTTTAAGTTATTCCTCTAATAAATGCTTTACACGTTTTCATTTTCTTGTATTTTCAATTGTTTTTAAACCCAAATATTAGATATGTTTAGAGGCACATTAAAATACGATCTTAACATTTATGTATGATTACAGTCTTTACGCAAAGACGTTCTTTCCTTTTGGCATCAGTGAAATTAAGACGTAAACGACGTATTATTTATTTTTTCTTATATATTTCTAATAAATAATATTAACTTCACTAGCAGCATGATGACACCACACATTATTTTTTTTTATAGTAGAGAAAAACATCAATGCACCGCAATGCGGGCATGATGACGTCATGAAATAAAAATACACCGGCACATTATACTTTTTTTTGATAATAGTAAGATATTGCTATAAATACATTCATATATGAAATATTGTAATATTTACTTTCAATTTTATAATGATAAATACAACTATTTAAGTAAAATAAAAACACAAGGATTGTTACATTGAATGAGCATTATTTTTATTTTTTAAGTTTGCTATGTCTTAAGTAGATTACAAGTAATACGTTATATATGAAACACATAATATTCACTGTATACATTATGCATTAATATATGCTAAATTAAATATTTAAAATAAGGAAGCAAAATTCACATGAAATTATTAATACCAATCTTTTATATATGTTTAATTTGATTTACTTATATTATAACTTATGTATGAATAAAACTACGAAGCACTCAAATTTATACAAACTTGATTTACTTGAAAGTTTTGTTACATATATTCATCTAAAAATAATACATAATAAGCGAAGATACTTTACACAATACTAGGAGAAATTTAATTGGTAATAAACTAACAGCTAATTAAAAATACTTATTAATTAATAAATAATAACATAAAAGATGCCATATTTTGAATTTGAATGAAAGTGAGTTCAAGATATAGGTAAAAATAAATAATATCGAAGAGTGCTCAAAATGTTAAGACAATCTAAAAAAAAAGAGATGAATTGCAGAAAAAATTTTAAGGAGTGAGGAATGTAATTAATTATTCAATTATATTCGAAATAAAAATGTGAGAATGTTATTAACTAAAATGAAGAAATTCTCAAAATTACATTGAAAATTTGTAATGTTAGTACAGTACTGTAGATATGAAATTTAAAATGGAGCAGGCGAAATACAAATTTATGAGATGATGAAAATGAACTAAACCATGTGAACACTGATACCTTTACAAAAAATAATTATACCGATCTCTCGTTCGTATATGCAAAAAAAAAACATATCAAGGTTGGTAAATCTTTTTAATGAGAACAGTGTGAAATATTTATCCCCGAGGTTGACTACTCCATATACATTTTAAATGAAAATAAATGCTTTTTATTATGACTAAAGGTGTTTTGTGTTAAAAAAAATTTTTGTCCCATTTATCGATATTATAGATTATATACTTAATTTTTGTACTGCGTACCACAATTATTAACTGCGTAAATACTTTATTAGTTAAAGCAGAAAGTTAAGTGCTATTTTTCTCTATTAAAAAAACGTATTTAGATAAAATTTCCACGGAATATAAAAAAGTAGAAAGTTTAAACAAAAACATATTATTACGCCTTAGATGAATTATAAAAATAATTACGTTACTGTGCAACGAAAAATAATAGTTAAGTTCTCCTCTGTTAGAATTAGTACTAAAGTCATAGAAGTATTAGTGATCGAGAAAAATTTCTCTATAAGCCGCCAAGATTAACTATACAAATTTTGCCGAATAACTAATTTTTAATTCTGTTCCGGTCTAATGGTTTATGTATATCTAAACGATAGATTAATGTAAATAAAGTCCAGCGCAACGTAATCATACATACCCACATTTTATAATTAAATGTTAACGATTACCAACTGCATTAAGCTTGACGCTAATGGTTTTACTGATTTTCCTTATGGAATTCTTCCATACATAGCTTACAACTCCACGAACCTTCAGGTGGTGTTATCAATGGCGGTGACAAACAATACATATGATAACCACGATCGCAGTCATCACAAAATAATAACTGATCATCATTATCAGAGGTGCCACATATCGAACAGTATTTGCATTCAATACATTGCCAACGATATCTCTTCACTGAAATAATCATGTTCGGTGTGAATTGTAAGCAAGTAGGATGTCCAGAACGACCACAATCTGAACATGATACCAGCTCTTCGGGTAGATTTGTTTTTTTATTTTCACGTTGATCGCCTAAACAAAAATCACAATACGGTGATGGTTGCGCTATTTCACGATCAGCACGTAATTTATTCTTAGGTTCCTTTTTGGGACTTGCGTTAATGGCGGGTGTAATTGCACCTGCAAGAGTTGCCGGAGCAACAGGTGATGTTGCACTAGTACTAGCCAATGATGTAGCATCATTTGAAGCACCAGTATCACTGGTTGATTTATCAAGTGTAGACAAATGCGGCACTACTGTGGTCGGTACACCCAGTAATGATTGAGATGTCTCGTCATGCGTGGCAATCGGTGAAGCTGAATTTGAATTGCTAGCAACTATAGGTGGAACATGTGCGGCTGCAGCAGCTGCTGCAGATGCCGCTGCCACTGCAGTATTATTCCCACCACGTCGTCGACGTCCATCAACAACTTCACCATCAGGACCAGTTGTGCGTCGGCGTGCTAAATATAAATTATATTCAATTATTAAATTAATTTTAATATATATGAAAGCGAGATTTACCTTTACGTCCACGTTTTGGGGTACCATCCAAAGTAGTATTTACTCTTCGCGAACGTGATCCACGTTTACGTTTGCCACGACTACTGTATGATTCATCGAAATCGTTATCTGATTCAAAATCTTCTTCGAAGTCATCTACATGATGATAATGTGATATATCCATATCTTCGTGGAACCACTCTTTCTCAGCATTTGGATGTGAGTCTTTACTATCATTGTCACCCGAAGCGCTCATTGAATTTCCATCTGCAGCTGCGATAGCTATAAGAACATAATATGAACAAAATCTTATAGGAATTTAAATAGGAATTTGAATTAAAAACTGAATTGTGTGGATCTTGCTGTAAGAATAAGTTAGCACTAGCTCTGATAGTTATACAGATTATGCAGCATAATTATTGCACTATATATATGCTTAAAGTATATATATTATTGTATTTATATATTTTGCAGGACAATTGATTTAACTATTCTTTGGAGTAAATAAAAATGAACTAACCTTTTAATCATGTTTTTGTCAAAGTACATTTAGTAAAAAATGATGGACCAAAGAAATTGTTTTCAATTATATACTTAAGGATAGAGTTCTAAGAGAGTAATTAGAATTATTTTTGGAATGAAATATTAGTGTAATGGCTGCAGCTTTCGAAGTGTAATAGGTACAGAATATTCAGGTAAAATAATCCGTAAACATTAGCGTTTAAAGTAATATTTCAAAGAAGTTGAATTAAACATTCGTGGGAATAAACAGAAATAAATAAACAATAATAAATACAGGAAATTATTTAGTCATCTATTATACACTTAAGAATATAAAGCTAAGAGAATAATTGGAATTATATTCGAAATAAAAAACTTATATAATGATTATAAACTACCATCGACAAAATGAAGTATTAACTACAAAATTCGTTGGCATCTATTGGACTATATGAAAAAGTAGTTGGAATGATAACTTAAATTTAATTCGAAGAATATTACACTGTATGTAATGGAGGCATGGGTTTACGACCATCAAATATCGATTGCAACTTTTATCGGTGTTTCGCACATATGCTATTAAGAGACGTCTTATAACAGTAGCTTAAATAAGAATAGGAAAAAGTTTCATGAGCGAACGGGTCTACAAACTTGAGCTACTTGAAATCGACAAGTATGTGTCACATATCAGTCTCATTGGGATTTCGTTCGTAAGGACCGCCTTTTAAACCGGTAAAACTATCACAGTAACAAGGACACCAAATTGATCATATTTTTCTGTAAATTAGCTTATAAATCACATAGATTAGTGCAATATATTATTTAAAAATTGTTTTATATGACTACACAAATTAAGTGCGATTTGTTTCGATATATTTATTTATGACAAGTATGTTGTCTACTAAACTACTACAAAAACGTTGGATTATTCGCAAAATGTTCAATTGAGCAACAAAATTTGTCAGATAGAGAGTCAATCTAGATTAAATTCAGTTTTACCAATCGAAAACGCCATTAATGCCCAAATTACTTGAGGATATTTGATCTACTCTTTTGTTATGTATTAGAGAAATGACGTATTAGAAAAATTTTGTAGCTCCTTATTTCTCTTTGAACCCATACGTATATGGAGAATGTCAAATAGTTTTGCTATCACCGCTAGAGAAATATCTAAAAAAAATACGTAACTAGAAAAAGTAGTAGTTGAATTTTTTAAAGGGCCGATACATATTTGTCTATAAGTAGAATGTTTCCTTTTTACTACTAAATATGTGCTTAAAAGGAAAGCATCCGAGGTTTAGTCATTCTAGACGTTATGTTCTGAATTAGTTGAGATATATTTAACCATATGGCACATTTTGAAATAATAAGCCTGCATTTTACTTAAACTGTGTAGTATATATGACTATTATATATTCACATGAATACATTCGAAGAGGTATCAAATTTAGATCCAAACTATATGCATTATTTTGTATGTAAAAAATGCGAAGTAATCATTAATCAAGAATGCAATATGAATTAGGAAAATATTGTATAATATGTATGACGGCTAAATGTAGCTGACTCAGCAAATTCTC